TGCGCTCTTTTGATAAAATACAGTATGACATGAGGTGTAAGAGAAACACGTGTAGTATGTACTGCAGTACGTAGGGTTAGCAGGACAAAAGTGTGTGATGAGAAAGACGGTTGGAAGAAAGAAAAGCAACAGATTATTGATAGGTTGGAGAGGAAGGATGTGCAGAAGGGATTGATGGGACGATGAACACTGACCCACACGGATGTGGGATGATTTCAGTGCGGCTTGTGAAGCATCAGTTTAACAGGGTTCCCTCACAGCAGCACCAACAGAACCTCAGTTATACAGTAATAACGTTAAACCTCTGGCTTTTAGATTACTGTTAAATGTGTAATGATAATGAAGGTGATGAAATGATGATTTGTCTCCCTCACCTCCCCCAAAACTCAGAATCCTCTCTGCATTAGTGACAGGTCATGCATTCCATTGTACCAGACAACATGTACCATACAGTCAGCCTCCCACAACCACCCCTGCCCCTCCCCCACTCACCCTTCTCTGTTGGACAATACATGTGCTGCTGTCAGTGTTGTGTCCTTCATGCTTCTGACAGTCCTAATAGCAGGATGTCCTCATTTGTCCAAGTCATCTTTCAAGAGTACAAAGTCTGTGCTGCGTAAAGAAACAAAGTCTATGTTCACACTGGGGGCTAATCCACTTTCATATACTGTCCTATGTCCTAAATTAGATATGTGTCCAATGTTTTTTAAAACAACCTCAATCTTAGCAGTCAATAAATTTCATCTGACATTTACGTCATTAAAATAAAATGTCAATAACTGAGGACCTGGTGGGAAGAAGAAGATTTCATATTAGCAACATTAGCATTTGTTCACAGCTGTTTACAATTAATATAAAAACTGTAAAAACAAAAAATGTCCAATGAGGCCAAATGTGTTTTGTGAATTTATAAATGAATAAAATGATCTTGACTCTATTTCTTCTGTTCAACATCAGCTCAGTTGCTCATCACATCCTGCTGCCAGTCTCTGTATTCCTACTATCCTCAGAGGAACTGCTGTGGCTCAGCGTGCTGCCTTAAGGGTTCAAATGCTGTAAAGAGACAAGGAAGAAGCAGGGAGAATGGAAGTAGAAAGAAAGGAGGAGAGAGGAATGAGAACTCACCCCTCAGCTAGACAGAGCCCTCTGAGTGGCCACGTGTTTTCACAGGCTCTCCCCCCTGGATGTGGAGGATATTATGCAAGCGACAAAACGCTGATGGCAGAAGCACTTAGAAAGTCCTAGTACTAGGTGAGGAAGGATCAGACCTCACCTACTGTTGCAGCCTGTGGCTGCATGACTCTGTGATGGATGTGTGTGTGTGTGTAGGTGTTGTTATGTAATGAAAGTTCCCACAGCCGGCTTAACAATAAGGGCTTCTCTCACCACCTTAATTTTGCCTTTGAACTGGAAAATGAAGTGGTTGTTCAGCGTCCATCTGTGTCTGCTGCACGCCACTCCAACATCATCATCTGCTGAAAACTTCATTTCAAACATGTTAATTTATGGAATCGGTTAAGCAGTGATATTGTTGTTTTATTTGAAGACCTGGACATCTTACTCTCCCCACAGGAGGGATAGAAAGGATTATGAGGGGAGAGTAAGATGACATGAAACATGAGAGGACGTGAGAAAATGCCTTGAAGAAGACAAAGGACGCAAGCCAAAATCATGGACGTGTTTGTCTTCTCCACTGTGTAGGAGTCTGGCTGTATTTATATATATATATATGGGAATCTGCTGAGAAACACTAACCCACACAGACACTCACATGTCCGTGCACATACATGCTCACTTTCATCCATGCTCGCTGTCACTCCCTCCCTCCCCTCCTCCCTCCCCCTCGTTACTCACTCCCAGTCACGTGCTGACGCTGTAGGAGTCTGACAGAGCAGAGATGGAGCACGAGCTTTGAAGATGATACAAACAGCATTTTTAACTTTGGTAAATACTCCAGGCAGTCTTTAAAAGGCACAGACCTAAGCAACCAGGTCTGTTCTATGATTAACTCGCATCATAATCAAAATATCAAAAATACTACAAACAATGGTAATACTAATGATCATGGCCTTTTGGCTTAGAGGCCTGATTGCTATTTCCAATATTTTGCTAACATCAATTTTATTTGGAATATATTTTCTGGTTGTCTTTTAAGGATATTTGAGTGAAAATTAGATTTTAAACTTTAAAAAAATGTTTAGTTTGTATATAAATATAACATACCGAAACAAACAAATGATTTAACTGTAAAAACTATTGAAACTGTTGTGTTAAAATCTAGAGATGACTTGAAGATGAGTCTTTACTCTCATTGGGGGGATGGGGAGGGATTACAGCACATAAACAGTAAAGGCAGGAGGGTTGACAGAGACAAGACACACACACCTACACATACACATACAGTTGACACTTCATGGACCTAACAGACACGTCAACACACACACAATGATATTTTCTCTGCAGGCATGAGCAGACGCCCACGCACAGGTCACGAGATGCGAAAATGCAACTGAATTATTCAGAATCCAGGGAAATGCCTGCAAAAGAGAGAGAGAGAAGTGGAGATGAGTGAGAGTGGAATTACAAAGGGGGGGTGAGACGCCAAAGCATGAGACAGAGAGAGGAGGAGGGAGGCAAGGAGGAGAAGAGAAGAAGAAACCAGAAGGCATGTGTCAGCAGTTGGCCGGAGGTAAAGAAAGAGGAGAAACAGAAGAAAGACGTAGAACATGTAGAAATCACTGGATCTGGGACCAGGGGATAAATATCTCCGTCGTCATCTTGGCACAAACCAGTTCACTCTTTTCTGGGGAAAAAAAAACAAAAAACAAAAAAAAAACACATCAGACGTCAACAACAAGTAGGTCATCAAGCACCGACTGACTTCCTGCCAACGGTCACTCTGACAGATTGGTGCCACCCTCATGTTTACGCCTCTTGAAAAACTAATAAATATATACATGTATGAATTTCATAAAAGAATAAACGTCAGGGACAAAAGTCTTTTCATAATTGAAAGTTGGCTGTGGTTCCTTCATCTGCAGCACAGCAGCTCTCTGTCTGTCTGGACTATTTGTTTTCTTCAAACTTTGCTTATTTCCTACTGCTTAGTCACTTTAAGCTTTCTACACACAGGGCTTCTCAAAGTGAGGGGCATGCAGATTAAAGATGGAGCCTATTCCAGCAGCCAACAAGTGTTGGTCACCTACAGTTGTTCATCACAAGGCCACACGCTGAGACACAACCATTCACACTCACATTCACACCTACGATCAATTTAGAGTGAACAACATGAAAACTGAAAATATAGTTTTCTACTGTGCTATGAATATATGTGCTATGAATAGATCAAAAATATATAATTATGTATAATAACTCATCTCGTTCTGTATGTTCCGAGAAACCTGAAAAACACACAGTTAAACGGATCTTCCACTGTTTGGTCCAGGCAAATAATTAATTTGTTAAATTTAAATAGTTAATTTAAAAAAAGTCCATGTACTTGAGTTGAGTCACAAACACATTAAAATTCAAACCACATTGGAAAAGAGTCAGAATCAGAGAGATAAACAAAACAGACATTAGTTAAAAAACATACGGATGCTTTAAACACTAAAAAAACTCTGTTGCACAATGATGTCGGGAAAACAGCACAGAGAGATATAGAGACAGAGAGAGAGAGAAATAGATAAGTAGAGAGAGAGAGAGAGAGAGAGAGAGAGAGAGAGAAACCAAAACAAAGAGGAGACGTGAAGACTGACCTCGTTCCCGTAAAAGTGGTGAAATGACTGTGGACGGGGGAGGAATTTACAGGGGAAAAAAGCAGTAAAAACCAGAACGCCTGGAATTTCAGCCCCCGCGATAAAAAGAAAAAAAAATATATGTGACCTCTGAGAAGAGGTGATGCTGTGGCAGAGGGTTTGTGTACACATTTAACTGTCCAGATGTGTGTGTCGACTTGACTGAAGGCAGAAAAGGAGCAGTAGAGTCACACACACACACACAAATATATAAATACATATACCTACACACACATATATATATATATAACGAAGTCTGTGTATACTCTGTGTACGACCCATCTGTGAGCAGTGGGCTGAATTCTACTGCACCCTGGAGGCAGGGGAGTCTTTGGTACTAACTCACACCACAGCTCTGCTGATACTTGGAATTGAACCAGCAAACCTCAGATCACAGGCTCAAACCCGCAGGTTCTATGAAGTCTTTGGTGATAAAGGATCAGGATCAACTTCACTGGCCAAGTAAAAAAATATAAACGAAAAATTTGGATCTGGTTTAATAAAAATAATGTAAAAATGTTCACATTATTATGAATGTATGTGCTTTCAAGGTTGGTCAATAAAGCTGATTCTGCTTCTATGATCGTGTCCTTTGATGATCTATTCACAGGTTTTTGTTGCCGTCTGTCTAGACTTCTGTTGCCCCTCCAGATGTCCCGCTGCAGAGCTTGACATTTCAGCCTTTTTCACACTTCACAGTGAACTTGTTGAATCTGGCTGCGCTGACATTAGACTGGAGGCTGTCTCTGCACTGCTAATTCTTTTTGGGTCAGTTCCCAGGTTTTCACTCCCAGGACCAGAACACAAGCACAGATACACACACTGATAAAACCCCAATCGCAGTGTGTGTAGATTAAAGGGATTTTTTCCCCCTGAAGTAAACTAAATTTGGTTTGCTCTTAATCTCATCCTTAAAACACTGACAGCAGATTATTGACAAGTGTTCAAAAAAATTATGTTTAATTTTATCTATTTCTAAGTGAACGTTTCTTCACTTAGCATGAGTTAGCCTTATCTTGGCTCGTGTCTCTTTGGCTTAGCTCTTATTTTTTTCCTTCTGTTTTTTCTTGCCTACTTTGGTGCTTACCTTTTATTAGCCCTAACAGCTAACGTTTAGCTCTATCCGTCACTCCCACTTTTTGCAGCTTCACATTTGTTCCCTTTCTTTCAAGACTACTTTATATTAAAAACAACATAAACGTGGAAGGTGTAGAGGTGGAGTCACAGGTGGAGTTGGTCACGGAATCTGTGAACAACAACGTGTTTGGGCTGTGTACTCGGAGCCATGTTAAGTGGGTGGGTGGTGGTTATTATTTACGCTGTACTTTGAAATTACCCGCGTAAACAAATGCGTTCAAGGTTCAGATAAACATAGTAATTTTCGCGATCAACGTATCAAGATGGCCTCGGAGACCCGCCCAGAGTGTAACCCCGCCCTCACCTGACTTCTTCTCGGTGTAACTTTTGTCAGAGCACAGGGTCCAGTGAAGGGGACTGCAGAGACAGAGACCAGACAAAAGGCCTCAGCAACAATAAAAGTGTGGTGGTGACACAGCGCGGCCCTGTGAACACAGCGTGTGATAAATCTCACAGACGGTTCCAGATGTTCAACTATAGCCTGGGCTTAAACTTCAAAGAAGCCCGGTCACAGACCGCTGCTATTTATAGACCGATTCACATACAGTATAATCCACCAGCCTTATAACTGGAGCTGCTGCCCTGTGACCAGCCTGTGGTTAAAATAACAAAACAAAACCGAACACGCCATCTTCTGGTATGTTTGGGAATCGTTGGAAAAGTGTTTAATTCAAAGTGGATCTGGCACCGTTTGGCCTCTAGGTAGTGAAAGATTTATAGCCCGGGAAGACTGAACTGTACTTTTATAGGTTCAACTATTTCATGTTACTGCGGTTAAAAGCAGATTTATTTGGTGTTTGTTTTTATTTTCATCTTCGTAAAATTGACCAGAGAAGTTAGACATTCTCGTGTGTCGTCGACAGATGTTTGAGTTCAGGACAAACTGGTTTAGAGTTGGACTGACGTCGGCGTAATGACAAACAGATGTGCGTGATCTGCTGACGTAGTCAGGAGGAGGATGAGAGAGAGAGAGAGAGAGAGGAAGAAGAAGAACATGTGTTTATCTAAGTGGACGTTTCTTCACTTAGAGTGAGTTAGCCTTATCTTGGCTCATGTCTCTTTGGCCCAGCTCTTATTTTCAGAGGTTTGTTTTCCTCTGTTTTGGCCGGACAGACTTTTACATGGCCAGAGTTAAGACAGCCATACGCTGTGTACAAAATGGACACTCCTGGCTGCACATAAAGCCCTGCGAGTACACAGGAAATGACTCTAGGGAGTTCAATGGTCACTCTATAAGTCTGTACGTCTGTAGGAAACTAAAGGATTTTTTCGGATGATTAACAACACAGAATTGGTATTATTACTACTGATGCTATTTTTGTACAGTTATATATATAATATTCTTATTTTTAATAAAGTTCATATCTTTCTATCTATCTACCTACCTATAGATAGGACTGAAACACAAGTGGATATTTTTGATTGAGAGCTCAGGCTAACAGGCAGTGATCTGTCTATGATTTCACACAGCCTCTGATTTTTATCTACAGACTGTCTACGACCTCCTGGATCAAAACGGGAGACTGTTACATGGAAGGGACTTTTCCAGGACTTGCTCCGTGCACCTTTGTTTTCTTGTGGAAATGACAATAAGACCTTTCTGAGGCAGAGGGGAGATCTGTGGGATGAGAAGACGTAAACAAAGGAGCCGCAGATGGACAACAGATGCAGAGGAGAAGTGAACAGACGAATGTCCACAGTGCTGAGCCAAGCCTTTGTTCTGGAACTTTCTCCTACCGGATTTGAAGAACTATTGTTCAATTTAAAAAAAAAAGTCCAGACAAATAAAAAGCCATACAAATCTTTTTATTGCAACAAAATCAAACCAGTACATACTGGCAGATATTGCAGTTTTTCTGCATAGTAACACAGAGTACTACACAGTACATTATATATATATATATATATATATATAAATAAATAAAAGTAGATGTGAGTACACTGTTCAAATGTTGAACACATGAACCGTCCTGTGGGTCAGCGTGGAATCACCTGAGGTTGGATGTTGAAGAGCAGGTCATTGCTGCCTCTGCGGATCTCCATCAGCAGGGGGCGATCTCCACGAAGCACTTCGTGAATGTCCTGGGTGGTCTTCACCCGCTGTCCGTTTAGTGCCATTATGACATCACCAGCTTGAAGGCCTTCACTGAAACACACACAAACACACACACACACATTGGTAATTACACTCTGGAAAATCATGGCTGATGTATTAATAGAAACAAGTTCTGGATTCACAGTCTTTCCTTTCTTTTGGCTAACTTTTAGCTGTTTTAACTTTTCATGCTAGTATTAGCTACATATCTGCTAATTTCAAGACACATTTTAGATTAATCTATTTTTGTTTTTTAAAGTGCTTTGGAACTATACTGAAAAATATATATGTGTTACTGTTTATATATATATAATATATTTACAATTTATTTGCAAACTGCAGTCACATCAATCTTAGGCTAATTTCCTGCTCTCTGACCAAACCACGAAAAGTATTCATGTACAAATCTTGATAATGTTAATGTAAGTCCTAACTGAGCCGTGTGGTGGAATGGTGGTTAATGCTTTTGCCTTACTGCAGTCAGATCATTGATCATCGTTTGATACCAGGTGGTAACATCACTGCAGAATTTGTTTCATTCACTTGGATTGATCAAAGATGTGAATGTGAGTGTGAATGTGTTTGTCTCTACGTGTGGCCCAGTGATGGGATGGAGAACTGTCCAGGGTGAAGCCCCTGCCCCTGCAGGCCAAACAATGTCAATGACATTAACATGTAAGATGATCCATACCTTGACAAATAAAACAAATAAACTATAATAATTTAGCTAAAACCATTAGCTAGACGTACATATATATACACACACATATATATATACACACACACACACACACACACATATATATATACTGTATATATATTATTAGATAATTGTGCAGCATTAACTACTGTTTTCCTGCTTGAAAAGAAAAAAGAGAAGATCATTTAACCACATTATAAACCTGAAATACTAAATGTTGTAAATCCTTCACAGTTTATCATGAAGCAGAGCTTTTATCTGTTATGATTTACTCACTCTATGAGTGTGTGTGAAAGCTTGGGTTTTGGCAGGAGTTTGTGAGTGTGTGTGTCTGTGTGTGAGTAAGTGTGTGTGTGCAAACATACTTTTCTGCTGCAGTGTTAGGGATGACCTGCTGCACCAACACTCCGCTGCTGTCGACTGGGAAATTTGGGCTGTGACTGAAAAACATGAACAAAGATTATTACTACTGCTACTACTACTACTATTATTATTATTATTAATTTTATTATTATTATTATGATAATCAGGAAACTCAATCAAATCTCCTCTACTCACCTGTTGGTGATGGTCACCATCCTGATCCCTAAAAAGCGTCTTTGAACATCTAGAAAGAGAAATCCACATATTAAGGATCACAACGTCCTGAGACAGAAGTCTGAGGTTGAACAGGGTTCAGTTCTCACCGGTGTCAGACTGAGGCTCCTCTGTTAGTGCTCTCTGCTGTCTCGTGTTTTCTGCAGCATCAACTGCAGAGGGATTCACTGAGGGAAACCAGGAAGATCAACATGTGTCTACATTAGTGGGTCTTAAACTACTGTGCATGTACCAGTGGTGTGCTTGGGCTCTCTCTAGTGGTTCGTAGGAGAATATGACTGATTGTGTTGTTAAATGCTGTTGTTACATATTCTTGTTTGCTGTGTGTGTCTGAAGGTTGGAGGACCACTGGTCGACTCCACAACATTCAATATGTTAAATATTTGTTTTTGTTGATAAACAAGCTCTGACCTCTGACCTTTGTTGTGGCTGTGCATCTCTGTGAGGAAGCGCTGGATCCTGTCTGAAGGTATCGCAAAGGAGATGCCTGCTGTGCCCTTTAAAGTGTGGATGCCTATCACCTCTCCATCCTGTAGCACATACACACACACACACACACACAATTATATAAATATAAAATCAGTGTCTGTAAATTATAATATTTTATATATTTATAAGTATTATAAATAATTTAAAATTATTACTTATTCCTGTCAGACCCCAGATCTTTTTTTGCCTCTAAAAAAACTAATCAAATATAGAATTAAATTTTATTGACACTTTTCTTACATCTGGAGGTTTGTGCTCATTTATTAACCTTGTACATGTTTGTTCTGTATAATTACTTCAATAAGTCAATAAGTTTCAAAAAATGTCAACAGATGTTAGCATTTACCTCAGTACATACAGAATGTTTTATAAATAAAGGCACTTCTATTCTATTCTATTCTATTCTATTCTATTCTATAATGATTGATGAGTGTGTTGACCACACCACTCACCAGGTTGACGAGTGGACCTCCAGAGTTGCCGTACTTCTCAGCCGTCGGAGGAAAATGGGACAGAAACTCATCAGTCACAGTTGTGGGTTGGATTCACACAGTATGTACAAATACTACAAAGGTACTGCAAAAATACATAGGAGTAAGCAGGCTTTCTTTTATGTGTGTGTGTGTGTGAGCTCACGTTGATGATAGCGTCAGTCTGGATGTAGTCCATGTCTGAGTCCATGATGCCCAGCTCTTTGCCGTCTCTCTGCACTGTGCTGACGATGCCGGTGGTGACGGTGTTCTGCAGAGCAAAGGGGCTGCCGATGGCCACCACAAACTCACCAGGCCTCAGGTCGGCTGAGCGACCCAGAGACAGGACTGGAAGCTTCTTCTGCTCAGCAGCAGCACACAGACGAAACAGACAGAAAAAAAACCCACAAAAGTGGACCATCAGTAGAAGAAGAAGAAGAAGAGTATGAAGCTTACAAAGCTACAGTACACTAGGAGGTGTATTTGGGAGGTGAGTGTGAGAACACACACACATCTCTGTGCCTGTGTGAGTCACAGGGCTGATGTTTATGACAGTGTTTCCACCAGTCTTATGAACATCTAGCAGAGACCTGTGAGAACTTGGCAGAGCAGAGTGTGAGGAGGATGTGGGCTCTGGTGTTATGGTGTAGAGAGGTTTTTATATTTGACAGGAGGAAGAATACATCTGGAAAATGACATGTCTTCATGTCCCCTCAGTTTGGACAAAGACAGAGAGGGAGTGGACTCAAAATAAATAAGGACTAAAGAAAGCCACTGGACTCATTCACCTGGGGATTGACTTTAATTGTGGCGATGTCTGACTTCCTGTCCACATCTCTGACTGCAGCCTCATAGGCGTCGCCGTCGTGGAGCTGCACCCTCAGCTGAGGCCTCCCCGTGACCTTAGCCCTCGTGGTGACCACATGGGCATTGGTCAAGATCACACCTGTGTGGCTCACGATGAAACCAGAGCCACTGGACAGATGCATGTGTCGACCGAAGCCAGGGTGTCTGAGGACACGGGACAGAAGACTGGGGTCTTTATCTTAGGGATAGACTGCATCGTGAAAGTACCTCCTAGACACAGTACTGATGAGTATTTGTAGAAGTTCAGTGAGAGGAAAATCACTCACAGTCCAACACACATATTTCAGTGATCAAAATGCAGTTAGACGGTAAAACACAAACACACCTGATGAACAACTCGATGTGAACAACAGCAGGAGCGATTTTCTCCACGACGTCTGCGATGAAGTTGAACTTGTAGCGAGGGCTGATGGGAGGAACTGGAGAAGAAGCTGTGGTGACCAAGAGGAGATATTGAGGTTTGACCCTAACCCTGACCCTTTATTTTGAACAACATCATATGACAAAAAAAAAAAAAAAAAACTAGTACAAACTCTAGTATTATGTTGAATATAGATTTTTTTTAGATTTTTTTCATCTTTGTCCAGTTCAGAGTTCAGACACTGCTATAATGTTGTGTTTAAGGCTTTAATACTACAATAAAAACAAACAAACCAGAAACTATGAACCGTGTACCTGAAGTACACGGCAGGATGACGTGAATCCAGAACACTAGTGTACTGTATTTCTTCTCCTTCACAGCAGTGATGGAGGGAACACTCACTGTTGCAGCTCTTTGCTGCTCCTGGAGGTCTGCACGCTCCTTTGTGCGCTTGTCTCACCTCAGGTCTCCCCTTCTGCTGAGCTTTACGACTGGCTGCCTTCAGTCTACACACGTTACTGTACGACCTGCCGTCGGTGCCGCATACTTGCTGCTCCGTCTTGCAGCGGCAGACGCCTTTTCCGGACCCGGGACCTCCTCGACGTTTCCCCGCGGCAGGAACCAGCGGTCTGCACTCCATGCCTTCGCCGCAGGACGCATCGTCTTTGCGGCCACAGGGCTCGTTCTCTCGGGACAAGCACACCTGGCAGCAGTTACACCGGTCCAGGACGAACCCACCGGGGCAACGGAGGCTCGGGCACAAACTGACGTCGCACCGGGAGGCGCACTTCTCAGGGCGCGCGGCTCCGGTCAGGTGGTGCGTCAAGACGAGTGAAAATGTAAGAAAAAGTAACTGCATTGCACTGGATGGTCAGAACAAAACAAATAGAAAACTCCTGCCTGACTAAATACTCATGGTGATTTTTATAAAATCTTCCTGCTGCTTGAATGTTCTTCTGAGCAGGGACCTGGAGTTGAAAAGTCACCTTTCCCCCTCAATTCTAAAATAAATAATAATAAAAATAGATTGAAAGTCCAATTAAAAAACTTCGGTTTTTGTCTTTGTCCATCAGGGTCTTCAGATTGTCTTCAGTCAGATCCACAGAGCAAGTGGTGAAGCTGAGGGAGATGATGCTGCTGAAGGTTGGTGATTATAGGGGATGGTTATAATGTGCGCCATCCAGTGGAGACAGGAACATATAACAGTGCAACTTAAGGTCAAAGTCTGAGATACGGAGAGGTCATGAGTAAACCTTCCCACAGGAGGGCAGTGTTAGACAAGGGTATGAATGAGTAGTTTCGTTGATTTTGTTAACCAGTTTCAAGTCGATAAAATGACGGACAAAGATTACGTTTGAGTGGAACGATGTGGGACACGTCATCAGGTCTCGACTAGATCTGTGAACGCAAGAAAATGAAATAACATGTAAACTAATAGACATTAGAAAGAATGACTGGATTAGGAGGGAGAATCAGGAGAAACCAGGAAGTAAGACGAAGATTATTTAAATATTGGACATCAATGTTGGACACATTGTCTTCACTGAAGAAAGAACCTATTATCAAGTTATTTCGTCAAGTTATAACTTGAAACGACAGTAGTGACGTCACTGACCACACCCACCACACGCAGGTTATTAAAGCCTCGTTCCTGTTCCCTTTATGTACATGAACAATCGCGTCACTTCCAACATTCATGTTTGACGTTGGAATGTTTTTAATAACTTTCTCCACTAGGAGGCAGGAGACACTAAAGGTTGTGTGGACATTAAATATATATACATTATATTGTAATTTATAACAGAATGTTGACAATAGGAATTTAGATTTGATTAATACACTGTTAAGTGATACAAAAAACTGAGGATTTACAACGAATTATTATTGATGCATTTAAAACAACAGAAAGACATTTCTTAATTTACTGTCTTCCATATGTGACAGCTCAGGAGAAAAAAAGAGAGAGAGAGAAATAGAGATAGAGAGAGAATCTGCTCTAGTTGCAAATGCATGTAAATTTATGTTCAGCGGAGCAGGTAAACAATGCACATTTGTGCCCACATCTGCACCCACTGAAAACACCATCACATTAACCTGCAAATGACAGCCATAAAAAAACCCAGCAGCTTCAGTTGGTGCTGATGATGCAGATGTCTAAAGTGGGTTTTAAAAATAAACAAACCTTGTAGTAGAGTCTTGAATCATTCTTTGATCCCTGACCAAGTCTGAGAACCATAGATGTATCCACAACATGTTGATTATTCACTGGTCTCAGTGTCTCAGGATAAACACATGTCAACTGACAGATGTGATGAGAAGGTGCTGTTAATTGTAGACATGATAAACTGACCATATGTTGAGATAAATGACCTCTGACCCTCCTAATTTATTCATAAGAAACAACTGATTCATTCCTGAGCTTGATTACCTGATTCAATACATTTTTATGTGAAACTACATCACACAGACTCTGTAAGCAAATATCTTAAACTTCCAAAATTTTATTTCTTTTACTGTTAAATATACAGCTTTTCTCATGACAATCATTGAGTTGGAATACAAACTTCAAGATGCATACATTGGAAAAACAACAGATTCAAGCAAGTATGGAATTCTCCTGTTTTTTGTCGGGTTTTTTTTTCCTCTTCTTGTAGTAAAGCAAGGCGACGTGATGTCAACCCCCGTGCCCCGCCCAAATGCCGCGAGGTTCCAGAGAAAGCTGTTCACCAGCAGTTACCAGATACATGTTAAACAACAAATACATTCATTGTTGAGAAAAGTCTCTTTTCCCACAGCAATCACTGGTATTGAAATGTTCCAGGAGTGAGGGCAGAGTGTAGAAAACGTAAACGGAGTACATTCAAGCATTACGTGTGAATTCCCACACCAGCAAAACCACACCGTCAAGTTCGAGTGTTTTTTTGTTTTTGTTTGTATGTTTTGTTTTTCATGTACCGTCCACCATCAGAGTTTGGCAGTAGTGAGACTCAAAGACACTGGGTCTGGGTTTGTCCAACTGCTGTGGTTTAGAATGCTAACACTTTCAGCTAATCACATTTGTGTGAAAAAGAAAATTAAGCTGTGCAAGTGCCCACTGCAGATGAACACACAATCCAATAAAACAAGAAAGGAATTTGTTATTTTCCATCTGCAGTTCAAAAACTTGGGGGTTAAAGGTCAAAGTTGAGGCTTCATCAACTTGAGTGCAGCTCCAATGACTTTTTGCATGATGTGATAAGACTTTAGTTTCTTTCTGCTGTTGGTAAGCAAGTCATGGTAAGCATGTCATTTTACTGTGTGCATATTTAAATTGTGCATATGTCTGCGAAGCGCTGCTCATTGACCTCCTTAATGACCTTTAACTGGATTTCTCTCTTTATGGCACTTTATTATTGCAGCCGCGTACCCAATCAGAAGCTAGTAGTCTGTTGTTTTTCTGTAAGTGAGGAGGCTAACAGTCTTCACTGAGTGAATATCAATCAACCCATAAGTGGCATATTTCAGGTTCTATGTTCCATGGAACTGCATTCATTCCAACATGTCGCTCAAAGACTGACGGTACCTCTAGTCTGCCTTTGGTCCTCATCATGTTGACAAATCATTCAGACGAAAACCTATCTAAAGATAGTTACAGTTTTGCTGTTAGCAAGCAAGCAAAAAGGGTCATCCAAGAAGGACAAAAACATCATTAAGTGTATGAGCAGCATCACATGACCTCAACCTGAAATATAACACTCCTGGTTATTAATGCCTCTGTGCCTGGGCAGATGGAGTGTCCTGGTCCTAACTGATACGTCACCTGCCAACAAGAAAAACTGTATGATGGGAAATGCAAGGCAGTAGAAGGTCTGGAATTTTCCCAAGCATGATTTCTTGACAGTGACAGCCCTGTGGTAAACTATGAAAGCAGTTAGTTATCCTGGAGAATCGAGACTAGTTCTTATGGATGTGTGTAAACCCCTCTTTGCCTCAGTGTGAACCACAGAGCTCTGATCTGTAAGTGCTGCTCTTTGGCCACTGCACAGATTTCCTGGAGATTCTTTGTGAGAGTAAAAACTTCAAAAAAACGAAACAAAAGAAAGTGTTTCTGCGTACCAACAGTGGACAAATCTCACCTCTGTAGAGAAACGGATTACGCCAAACGGTCACCATGGTAACCGCTCACATGGTGATCATCCAGCTTCAACAACTCTTTGTGTTTTCCACACAAAGAGTGGAAATCTTCACAGACAATTTATCTTCATTTCCTGTCGTCAAATAATCAACAGTTTTCCAGTGACACTCAGCTTCAGGGACAGAGTGGGAAAAAAACACCCAGAAAAGCAGCTGCTGCACATTTTCTCCTCTCGCTCTTTTCTGACTACCATGAGGAGAAAAAGGGCCGCTTGCAGTGGAAAGTCTGTGTGAAGGCGTTGCCCAGTGTTACCACGCGACCCTGACCTCCAGAGCGGCTGCGCTCCACCACCACCCTGGGCATCTGCACCAGCTGAATGGGACTCTTCCCATCCTTCAAGGCCTGGGTCAGGTTTAACACCTGGGAAACAAACAGGATTTCAGACATTAATCAGTAAGAAAAATTTTAACAGATAAACCTGATCTAATAACCAGTAGCTTCAAGCAAAGCAAATGAAGAACAGAAATGAATAGACATGGAACACAGTATAGAAACAGTTATAGGAAGAGGAGGAGGGACAAAAGAATTAAAAATAAAAACACTCACTTGTCCCCTCATCACAGACATTTGTTTCTCAAACATGGTTTTGTCAAAACCTTTATCAGTCTGAAAAGGAAAATGAAATAGACATAATTATTCAATGTCCTTTTCAAGGTAAATATGGGAGAACGAGGGTGCATTCACTAATTTTTATTAATTCAAATGTTTTAGTCACTTGTAAATAGATTCTGGAAGAAACTTCCGGTTCCCCACACACAGGGAGGACATTATTGTAGTCGTCAGTATCAGTGTCCACTGGGGACCAGACCACTGTAGACGTGGGCCGTACCTTGAACATCTCATAGAGGTCTTCACACAGGTCCTGGACAAAGTTCATGTCAGAGAGTCGGGACAGAACCAGGTCTCTGGTCTCCTGGGAGAACGCCACCTTGGCCTGGGGCAGCCACGCCCAGTGGAAAGGGTCTGATGGGAGAAAAGCTCACATCAGTGTCTCAGCTGAAGCAGGTACCAGGCTGTTATTGTAGTCAGACGTGTGGTAGACACACAGATTATCAGATAATCCCTGATGACGGACACTTTGACATGTTTATGACAGAGCCTTGTTTGCTCTCGGGTTGTAATATGGTCGACCAGCTCGTCTGAAGGTCATCAGAGATTACATCAACCACACACACAGTGACACACTGGTCGAGACAGGACAAGAGTGGGGTAGGGAGGACCACCAGGAAATGAATAGACATTTACTATGGACAGGCCATGCTGTCAATCTCTTTCACTTAGGTGAGAAAAAAAATGGTACTTAATAAAAAAATGAGTCAAATGAGTGAGTCAAGAAGTTCTCAGACAGATGTTATCATTTCCAGGTGTCTGATAATAATAATAATAATTTTAATTTTATCTGCTGATTATTTCTTATATAAAAAAATAGCATCAACTTCTTTAATTAAAGTAGAAATGAATTGTGGGAATAGAAATGCTACACAAATGAGAAGAAGACACAAACGTACAGGCTCTCCATTCGTCCGGGTGTTTGAACGGGAACGCAAGGCCATTGTCGATTGCTGCAATTTTGATGCAGGAGTCTTGGGAGTTCTCTGGCCAATCAGGATCCTGCAGTAACAGAGAAGTGAGGCTCAGAAGAGACATCCACAACAAAGGATTCCAGTGATTAATGAGCGGTGAGCGAACCAAGTATTGATCCTGATCCTGGCTGATTAATTGAACAGATAGATGACAACCTCCACTCATTTATCAACACATGGCTGACGACAGGGAGTCACATCCTGATCCAGTGGTTTTAATCAGCAAGGTCACCAAAGCACTCACTGGATCACAGCCACTGTGATTATTCTGTGGGGTCTGTGTGTGTGTGTGTGTGTGTGTGTGTGTGTGTGTGACACTCAGTGGAAGTGTAGTAACCATATAACTAAGATGTTTGTATAGATTCTAGAGTTAATACTCAGCAAAACACTTGTTTGTTGTTTTTAAAATAAACATAATTCACAGTTGAGTTCCAACATGAAGACCACCAACAAGACCTCACCCCTTGTCCTGCACCTTCTTCTTTTCTTTCTCCAGGCTTCTCATACTTTATCAGCCAGTTGTCGTTGCCTCGATCTGATGAATAATTAACAGAGGTGAGATAAGTCTCTGTATGTAGCTGATTGTAATAACAAACCCAAACCCAATTCAGCAGCATGTGTTCTCACACCAATTAACACACTGGCCAATCGGCTGACAGCGTCAACACCAAACCCACTGAACAGCAAAAGATGTTTTTTGGATGAGGTTAGTAAAGGCGAGGTAGACAGTCACAGACCCACCCACACCCTCCTCCACCTCCTCACCTGTGTTCCTGATAACGTAGTCCAACACCACCAGCCGCTCAAACTGGGACTGCAGCTGCTTCCTGATGTTCTCGGGCAGAGGTTCGGCCTCGAAGCGCCGCAGCCAATAGTCTGCTTCACGGTAACCTTCCACAAAAAGCTGAAAGGAACCCACCTGGTGACGAGCACAGGCAGAGACTCAGAGCTCCACTGCAGAGAGGTGTGTTTACACATAACAATGTGGTGTGAAATGTTCAACAGCAACGTAAAATGTCAGCAGAGTAAACTCATCATGGAGCCAGGCTCCTGCACAGATGCTCCCTCAGGGTGAGGGCAGCACGTCATACAAGGAATTAAAACATCGGTTCACTAGAAACCTTAAAATGGAACATTATTTAATGCAGGCAGGATATTTATTCTTCCTCTGGCCTCAGATCAGAAAATAAAATCTGACAGTGTGGGAGCAGAGCAGCTGCTGTTGTGAAACCACTCCTACACTTCAGAAAGTCACCACCACAGAGGCTTCAAACTGCAGATGCAGATGAGTTGTTTTTTTCAGCTAATGTTTATATCTGATGACCACAACTATTGAATCATCAGCCCATGGCGACCGTGCTGTCATTTACCTTGGGGGGCAGTCCGACTCTGTGGAAGCGTCGCCCCACCTTGGGGACTTTCTCCAGGGCGTACTTCTTTCCCCTGGACTTTGCTCTGTCGATGGCGCTGTAATGAAATGTGTCACTGGCCAAGTAGACCACCTGGGGAAAAAACATGTCACTTGTCAAAATGTTGAATATACATCGTCTGTGGAGCAGCTCAGGGTTACATTCCACTGTAGTCTGTGTGAATATAACCGAGTTTAACCAGGCATCTGAAGAGAGCGGACAGAAACATGAAGGAAGTGGAGGGAGAAAGATTTTTATTTTCAAGTAGATGTTTTTTTTTCATCTCTTCTTGTATTTGCATACGCTGCCCTCTAGCTGTCATGGAGTCCAATCCTATAATTTAATTCACATACACTATCACAGCACAGTGTAAATCTCCACATTCCCACCCACCTCGACATAACAAAGTTTATTATAAAAACCACATGAACTTGGTTCACATGTGATATATCCAATAATTTTGTTTCTCTATTGTATTTGATCAGTTACCAAACAGTTAAAGAATGCCCTTTGGTTCTTGACCCGCTGACAATGTATATAATACAGTATTTGTGCTCTGTGGTAAGTATTTTCATAAAGAGTTAGAATCAGTTGGAAACAGTTGCGTCTTCAGGGATCAAGTAGGTATTTGTGTAACTATGATAAGTGGAGTCAATAGTCAACAGTGGGTACTGTTGTTAAGTGAACAGATGAGATCATGACCTGGGGTGATGTGGTTGTTTACTGACCACCAGTCACTCAGTGGTTATGATTTACCTAAACAAAGCTGAACTTAGTAAAATACACATTCACCACTAACATTTGTTTTGTTTTGTAACATGTTGTCCTCCTCAGAAGTACTCACTCCATGTTTTTTTTAAAGATCTAGTCTTTATGTTGAGCTGACTTCATTAAAGGATGTTCATTCATATTTTAACAGGAACACAGAAACAGCTTTCAAACACAATCAGGCTTAATGCATGCTCGCAGAGCCCCACCTTTGTTTTTGGCACCACTCCCAGGCCAAGCTTGGTGTCAACCAATGAGGCAGCGGCCTCTGAGAGGTAGCCCTGGTTTGGTAACAAACAGCCTCGGCCAAAACAACACGGACAGCACAGCTGAGAGGAGGGAGGAGGAACAGGAACAAATCTCTGAGTATTTTACATTTACAGAGACATGTCATGTCATCTGGTCCACAGCACATAGTGACAGCAAATACATGACACAGTACCTTATGAAAATATTTGGTCCATTTAGGGTTCAGGTGACCATAAGGCTCCTCTGACTTTGGTTTAAAAACACCAATGATTTTCTGTAGCAGTAAAAAAACAAAAAAAAAAACAGACACGTTGTTAAAAATGAGTTCAATACATTTGGAATGTTTAAATGTGAATCTGTGCTCCAGGAATTCTGACACGTTGTCTCTACAGAATTCTTTAGTATTTTCTTACTACTACTGTACTACCAACTGTTGGAAATCTAACTGAGAAATAAATATTCTTTCAGATACATGATTATAAAGACAGTGTGTTGAATCAGTCTGTACTGAAAACAAAGGTAACATTAACACCAGTTGTGAGCAAACATCCATTTAAATACTGGTGAGGAACAGACGTGGACAAGGAGAGAAAAAAAAAAGATGAATGTCGTTGGTGTAACTTTGTTGGACTTAACTTCAAACCTCCAGGCTCCAAACTGACATGTTTGTTTTGCAATGAAGTGAAAACATATCAATGTTTTTCAATACAACATACCATAATGTAAGTAGCCACTGATAACGTTTAGCTGAGCCTTTAAATCTCCTGTAATGATAAGAATTCAGCCCCTCAAGCTAAGAGAAGTCTACAAGAGTGTTGGGTGTTTCTCGCTTGGAGCAAACAGAAATGCAACAAGGACAATGCTAGGCTAATGTGTCGCTACACGTGAAATGCCGAGGAGTTAAAAACTGCCAATCAAATCACTCCAGGGTTCCTCTTTAAACTGATTAACAAAGATGAGCGGGACTACACCCTTGATCTCCAAACCTCCCATAGCTCCTTTGTAATTTAACCAGGTGTCCTCATACTCACCCCCTTAGGGTCTTTGACAAAGTAGCTCCCACTAGAGCCTTGTGAAATCCTCTCCGGTGGGACGCCATTCTCGATGGCCTGCTCTGTCCTTTGGATGATATCTGAAAACTCTGGATCATTGGGGAAATGGTTGAAGTCTCCACTGCTGGCCCCTGAGTATGGACAAGAGTCAAAAGTCCTTAGATTCATGTTGTTATAAATCAGGATGCTGCAGAAAAAAAAAACACACACTTGAATCCCCATAGCCCCCAGTCTCCTCCTGCTCCTAATGTTGTACTCCATGATTTTATTCTGTAAATGTTTAATAATACATTTGATGTCTATGACATGTTGTCAGTGAAGCATACCTGTAGAATTATTCAATTTATTGTGGGGTCAAACATATGTCTCATCAATTGTTACACATACAGGACATATGCAGGCACTATCTCAAAAGAAAATATGAAAGTATTACAATTAGTATTCACCAGGGGATACATAAAATTATCAATGGTTTAAACTGGGTGGAAAAAAATCCTACTGTTCTTTCTTAAATATCATTTTCTGGAGCTCGACTTGTAGCTGATGTTTACATCCCAGTTAGAAAAACACAATATCTCCTTGGAGAATATATTTACCACACATGTTCAATGACAAATCCACAGAAAACACCATCACAACCAATATGATACCTTATTTGGTATCTGGGTGTTAATCATTCCCTTTGCTGGTCATGTGACACAACACATTTAGTCTATTTTCTTCTCTTCACACAGAGCAGAACAGTCTGCTGACAGAGGAGCTCCATATGTTCCGTCTCTGTCACACTGAAGCCACAGTGGGACACATGGAGAGATGAAGGGACAGACACTGGAGAGGGGGGTGGAACAAAGGGATGGGAGGGCAGTTAATATGCCATTTGTCACAGAGAGATAAGGAGAAACAAAGGCAGCTTTGAAGCTAATTCACTTGAAAAGGAAGCAGGAGGAAGCTAATTAAAAAGGAGCAAGGAGAAAATGAAAGAAGAAAAATATGCTAATTTTCTATCAGGGGTTGCTGGATGTTTGTTTTAGTGCTAGCAGATTTGGAACAAGCCAATGTCATATTGGACTTTCAAT